TAGCTGACTATATACTAATATGGTCTTAACATTTTTGCCTTGATTTTTATCTCTATATTCATTTCACAAATATTGATTCGATAAATTTCTTGTGTATGTTGCCTACATAGCAAATTCTATATTTCAATTTGTTGATGCTTGTATATTCATAGTACCAACAAATTCCAACATGAATTGCTAAAATTAATCAGAATAAAAACTGTTTTTTTATCAAATATACCTGTCCTTTAAGTTTGATGTCTTATTCCTTATAGTTGTATTCTTTATTGGTGATTAATTTGTATAAAAGTATGATGCTAGAATGCATAAATTTGTGGATGCTTGGTATTAAGCATAGAAAAGTTCGCATTGATATATGACTTATCTCGGTAAGATAACTATGCAGAAATATTATTAATAGGTGAATTATTAATATATTTTTGGATATTGGGCTATGGTAATAGTTATTATTAGCTACTTCTGCTAAATAATGCCAAGAGATATGAAAATAACAGAGTTTGATTTAAGTGATTGAGATTGTATATAATTTTCACTATATAATTTTTATTTAGTTGTGTTAATTATTAAAGTTAAACTTTTAAAAATATAGATTTGTATTACATATCTCTAGTTTACTTTAATAGTTAATAACAATAGATTGGGATAGTTGTCTAACAAATTATCATATGTCTTTCTTAAATAACTGATATAATAGGAAAGTCAACTTCATAATAGATAAATTTTTAAATTTTGAGTTTGCACTTACTTTTTAATAATTCAAATAATTTTTTAGTAATATTGGCTAGTTCTTCTTTTGCACTGCTTTGTTGAATTCATTACAATTGTGTATTAAATTTTTTGTTGAATATCATATGCCTTTGCTTCAAGTTGCTTAACATAAATTAGTTTTAATATAGTCAGATAAAAGTTTGTTTTTAATAAGCATAGTGAACAAAACTTCTGAGATATTCATTATTCAACTAGTATATTGTATATAATTAAATTTTTTTAAAATAAAATAGTTCTGTAATAATGAATAATACTGTATTAAAGCTTTTACAAGTTTTGGGATGGTCAGAAAAAAGAAAGTCGAATAAGCTAATTCAAATTTTTAAAAATTTTCTTATATACATGCATTCGATAATAGTACAAATCTAAAAGCATAATAAGATCTGTATAATATAACTTTAAAGTTAATACTGTAATACAGTTAATACCAGTACTAAACTGGTATTTTAGTAATAGACTTTCATTAAATTAACTAATCATATTATTTTAATTATATTATGTATTAGATATTAGTTAACTTGTAACATTGCATAAATATATGATGCACAATTGTCCTGAACTAGGCTGTAATAAATACTTTAATCATTGTTCTTCTGTATGCAATCATTTAAAAATCCATAATAATACAATTGGAAACCTTCTTCAAAAAATTGTTATAGCAAAAGACAGTAATAACATATTAAAGAAAGAACAATTTATTTAATGAAAAGATGAAATTAATAACCAATGGAATGATAATTAGCTAAATGAAATAAATGGGTTTTCATTTAATAATAGCAAAGATATTGAACCAGAAATAGAAAACAATATAATAGATAAGATAACAAATAGGTTAGAATTTAGTTATAGTGAAGAAATAAATAATGAAGATAATGAAATGAACTATGAAATAGATAAAGATATTGAAGTAGATGAAATAAAAGAAACAAACAGGCTAGAAATTAGTTATAGTAAAGAAATCAACAATGAAACTAATGAAATAGATGAAATAGATGAAGCAAATAATGATAATATTGAGATAAATGAAATAAATAATAAAGATGCTATAGATGAGATAGGTGAACCAGAGGTATGTAAGTACTATATATAGTATGTACATACATTATATATATATAGTATATACATATATATTAATATATATTTTTAAGAGTTTTAAGTTTTATTATATAACTCAATAATTACAAAAATTATATACATATGTACATATATAGATGGACATTGTAGAGTGTTGATTGTTTAAGGTTAAGTTACTATTAGTTTTTGAGTCTCTTGATGTTGGGTCAGCAAATAGTGAGAATATGCCAAATTTTCTAAGTGAAGAATTTGGTGACTTTATGAAGTTGGTTATTAAATAGAATTTGTCAGATTTATATGCGAGTGAAATACTTCGTTTTTCAAAAAAAATAGCATATAATAATATTATTTTACCTACCTCAATACAACAAGAGAAGCAGTGTTTAGACAAAATTATAGTGCAACATATTTCTTTTAAGAAAGTACCTATAGTAGAATATGAAGATGAAATATACTATCTTAATTATCATCTAATTTTTAATGCTATTAAAGAATTGTTAAACAATGAAAATATACTTAATTATTGTATCTTTGAGTTTACACCATTGTACTACCAAGGGCAATGGATATATTATGAACAATTTAATGAAAAATGGTGAAAAAGGACAAAAAAAACAATTCCTCATGATACAAGCATTTTATTAATAATATTATATTCCAATACTACTACATGCGACCAACTAGGAAAATCAAATGAACATCTAGTATATTTGTCATTAGGTAATATTTTTAGTTGGCACAGAAACAAACCTGATGCTAAAGCTCTTTTGGCTTATCTTCTAATCTTAAAATCAAAAACAACTACTCAAAAAAAATCAAGTAATTTTTTATTTGCAAAACAGTCTGCATATTAACATTCTTTGAATATAATTTTAAAGCTATTGCTTGACTATAAAGACAATGTGTTTGATCTTTAAACAAATAATGGTGATTTATGATGCTACCCATTTGTTTCAGTCTTTTTAGATGACCTTCCAGAATATTCACTGCTAATATTAATATATAATGCTTTCAATTGTAAATGTCTATGTCACAAATACTTAATATCATTTAATGATATGAATAATATTAAGTTAAATGTAGATTAAATTAATTTAAGAACCTCAAAAACAATGCAAAACATTATTCATCAAGGATTTTCAAAACAATATTTTATATATAGTATAAAAAATGTATTTTGGAAATATCTGTAAGTATATATTTATATCTATATTTTATATTTTATAATAAATTTTATTAATTTATTTTATTATTTATTTTATTTTATTTATTTTATTTATTTTTTGTGATCATGACATCTGAAATTATTGTACGATACTGTAATTTAATAATAATTTATAAAAAATATTAGCCAATTAAACATTTATATAGCTACAATTCTGA